GATCATTTTTTTGTTTTGGTTATTACGTAATACACAGACAAACATCATTCTTTTCTTGTACATAACCAAGCTCTTCACATAATACAGTACGTATGCAATGTATAGTGCCTAGCCTGCGTTTGCTAATCGAGAACTAGTACTCTCCGGTTAATGCGCCCGCCGCTTATTAAGCCCAATTTGGTCTAGGCCCGAGGAGGGCTTATTAGCCGGCGACTACTGTAGTATGGTATGCAGAAGACTTTGACAGATGGCCCCTTTTTCGCTGCTTGGTGTGAGCTAAAGCATGACAGATAATTTTGTTTATTCCTACATCAATAAATGGCCGAAATTTCACAGCAAGCTGCTGACTTTGTGTTTGTGGAGAAAGCAATCGTAGCCTCACCTGAATCTGTGCGCAATAAACAGATTCGGTCTATGTTGCAGAGAACAGTTCTCAACTACATTGAGGGTACCGGTGAGGCTGGTATTAATCTCGCTTACTTGACAAGCGTGAACGGTGACCAGCTGCGTTGTATCGAAAACTGTCTGCAGACAGTTCGACAAAATAAGGTTCGTATGCAGTTTCATCTGCCTCCCCTATGTATACCACGGTAATATATCTTTTTTCGATTTGCACAAAAGTCTTACGCATGGTCACGTTTTTGTTGGCTTTGTGTAAGCCTTAATGTAGATGTCAATTCAGGTTAATTTTCATCAATTATTTGCCGGAAATGTACAATGGGTTGCTGACTCATTCTTTTTACGACGCTCAGTTGTGGCCTATCTGCATTCAGAAAGAATGAACAGGTTCGGCCCCAAGCCGCACTTTGCTGTCGGCAGCGCATGCGGCTGGACCCTCATTGGTGTTTGAGCAACGAGTGCCTGCCCTCGTGATTTTGTGTCTTAAAAGGGCGCACACAGATTCACGGGTCTTTACTTGAGCCAGCATGGTCGCTTTTGTTTGTTTTTGCCAGTTAATCTAGTTGCGTTTTATGCATTTTGATTATAGTGTTGTGGACGGCCACAATGCCTGCTTCTCCTTCGTTCTCCAAGGCTCCCTGACCGAAAGTCCTGCGTTGTCACAAAAAACTGTTCGAATGCTTTCTTTCACTGCCGACTCTTTCCCTCCCAAGTCTTTCCT